ACTTATAATTATTTAATATTAATAATAAATAAGGTAAAAAATATGTATAATACATAAATAATAAGAAACAAATTACTTTAAAATTACTTTCTTACTGGTGAATATTTTACAATCATCAGTGTCTCTCTATAATCACGCATTTAGCACACATAAAATACCTATGGAAAAATATCTGATTGCTGCATGTTAAAAATATAACAAGAATATATAAGTGTATAAGTAATAATTTAATATCTGGAAATATAATTTTAGACCGATGAATTGAGACAGTTCCTGGTGGCACTTCCTTTCAATGAACGACCACGTCACTCGCGCATTGTTCCGAATTAAGAAAGAGATCCAGCGTGCCGAAAATACCGTCCAGCATCCCACGGCCTTCGCATTAGGGTCAGTTGGTCATCGGTGCAGCATTGTGTCGGGAATACCGAAATTAACCCGCCGCTATACCAGCGGCACCGACCTTGTAATCCGCGCAGAGAACGCGCCGAAACCGTGAAACAATATAGTTAACCACTTCCTCCCCCTGCCCTACGACAACAACATATCCCAGCAGCCCGCGGCCTTACAAATGGGTCAATAGGTGAGACGCATGGAACGTACGTCGAAGTGACCCAGATCGGCGGAATAAGGCGAGAGCGGTCGTGCAACGGCCGCACGATCAATAGCGCACAATCTTGACTTAGAAAACCTACAATGTCAGCGAAGGAAGGCGGCACCGAATCGGGTGAGCGAGATCGTTTGCGGATTGAATGCCTTCGGCATTGGCGACAACAGTCGGCCTCCTTTTTTTCGCGCAAATTTAAAGTGATTACAATAGGATTGAAAGCCGTTTACTCGATGATACTCGAGCAGAAATTTCGACATATTTCGCGGTGGAAATCGCAATTTTCAATTATCAGTTTCTGCTAGTATATGAGATATCCAGTAATCCCGAGATTAATTTTATTGGCAAGTCGGAGAAAGCCAGAGTCGATCTTTCCCCTCTTAGCTTGGATTATAAGGGGAATGAAGGTCTGGTAGTTGCGAAATTACCTACGTATTCAGACGATTCGTAACCTTCGTCGTTATCATTGAGCCATGTCAAGATTTATTACCAATCTTCTTGACAACGGTTTTATCTCTATGACTTCATTCATTTCGATTACATCAGTTCGAAAAGCCGAAGCTTTTTCATCAACGAAAATGACACGCAAAAGGGAGTAAGACGTTTCGCTGATTTCTTTCATTAAATGGCAACGAAATAAAGACGGTCAAAATACAGAAAATATAATATACGTGATGATAGATGTATAAATAAAACAAAAAATAATTTTAAATAATGGGAATAATTTTTCCCATATGTGACAAACACCAATGAGAATATAATATTTAAGAAAATATTAATATTAGTAATAAATATTAATACCACATGTGCGATTTGAATTAATTCGAGTATTCAGATATTCGGTACAGGTATCAGGATGCGGATAGCTTGCGAAGATTTGAATCGTTCAGTCGTCTCGAGTTCAGCCAACGTTCTGTCATAGACATTCGTATTCGAATTAGGAGGAGAATCCTGAATCAAGTCCCCAACCATTACGTGAACGGAATATCTCTCGCTCGAGTGCTCGCACAGTACTGTTGTGACACAATGACGAATATAAACAATCCATATCGCGGAACATGGAAACTGCATAACAAGGATCGTGGTGCCCGACTGTTTATTGATTCGGGCAAGTTCGCTTTGCTCTTCTTAGCGATGTTAACCCGAAAAGCAAATGGATGGATCGAACATGCCTGTATAACGAGCATCGTATAATGCTAGATAGTTATTTATTAGTTTCGCAAGTTTAGCCTTGCTCGCCTAAGTAATGGTTAACGCGGTGGAGGTTTGCGTATTACATAGTTAAATATTCTCATCCTCCGTGCGCGAGATATACGCGAGATGAAAGATAAGCGACGCTTTAAAAAGCGCGTTTGCCACTTATTACGTACATATTTCGTCCGGGAGATAAAAATGTTTCATTAAACGTCGCTCTTTCGGCTAATAGACTGAGGAGACACTTTGGAGTATATGAAACGGTGTACCGCGACCGCGCTTTTAATTATCGCATATCGATTTTTAATATACTCTCTCACGACACGCCGCGCGCATTTGGACGATATATTATCGGTAACCTCGTAATTTCGAAGCCGGCTGGATCCCGTCGCAAATACCAGTTCGCACAAAGTGCACACGGCCATAGCTGTGCACAAAGGACCGCGTATATATTCTGGGTCAGGGTCTCTCAAACTGGGTTGACTCGCCGCCACCGTATATGTGCCGGAACGTGCGAAAACCCCCGACAATTCCGGGAAAGGTCGCGCCATCAACTTGTGACTCACGGGATCCTCCGAGCGCCTCGGTTGATCCCCAAATTCTCCCGTAAAGTCGCAGTAACGGGGCCATTAAGCGTTCGCGTAAATTCCAACTGTGATTGCGGAATTATCGACGGCACGGCAGACCGCATTGCAGAAACGGTCTGCGCTTCTCCACGCACTTTGAAAACAAAAAAAAAATCGCTGGATGGAAATAGCGTAGCGCAAGATAACATTTTTCGCGACAGACAGCGAGAGATGTCACTGTAATGAGATCTTTTAGCAAGGGCAATGAACGAGATCCTCGCGAATTACGATTACGAAATGTGTGACGATTTTCGCGAGCTAGAGAGTGCAGCCTCGGTCCTTGAGAACCGCTGTTCTAGAATATACATACGCAAGCGTTATGCGTGGGTGGAAGGGTAATAACTACGCTACGAAACTTGCCCGTCAGGCGCAATGAACAACGGTGTGTTGTTAAATCGTGCCATTAACGTCCTAAGGACGCATGTCATCGTGTCACCGAGGTATATTCAGCGGGATGAATGAAATTTTTTTGTCATATCTGTTCACGTTGAAAGCTGGAACGGCTTGCGCTAGAATTTGCGTCATGATATTTTTACATTTTGATTCTGGTCTATTCAATTGCAGATTGTTCCTATGTGAAACAGATATGAATTTTTTCTGCCATTTAACAAGGTACAGTACTGATGCGTAAACAAACTAACTGAGAATTAACAGCACGTAAAAATTATATTTGCATGTTAAAGTTAACAAGAGAGTTGATTTTTAAAAACAATCAATTGCTATTGGTACCATTGATATACGCTAAAGCAAATGTAATGGAAAACGCTTTTCAAATGTTAAACCAATTAATTGCAAATCAAATTGTACCAAGGAAAAAGCGTTATTTTTTTCTTCATACTAAAAAAATGTACGTTTTAATAGCACCTCGAAGAGCTTGCTTTCTGAATTGCGGCGGCAACAACGGTACGAAAAGTAACACGCGGAAATAATTCCGCCCATTCGTCAGCAGCGTCGCTCGGTGAACAGCTCCTTCCAAATGCATGAGATTGAAATTGAAAATATGTAGATTTCACGCGCGCCACGATATAGACACATTCGTGTAAAGCGATCGGCGAAGTGTTCGCGTGACTGACTATTGATCAAATCGCTTGAAAATCGACGCCGAAAGTAAATGACGCATTATCCATTCCAAGGTTGTGTATGTGTGTGCGTGTATCTGTGTGTGTGTGTGTGTGTGTGTAAGAGCACTTTTTCAAACATGGACAACTGGCTTGGAAATCGTTTCCAACATATGTTGTATGTAAAATTATGTAGATTTGTCTGAATTTGACAGAATTCTTAGAGTCTGGTGTAACTTCACGAGAATTCTATTTAATCTAATCGCTTAAACGTTTCACCTGAATTATGGACAAATTGCAGCGACAAAATTCTTTTGATCGAGACATGGAAAATTACAGTTAGTAACAGCTCTGTTATAAACGTACAACGGAAAACTATTACTCCCCACAGGAGTACGCATGACGAGTGATAACATATGAGGGGGACGATTGATCTGATCACGTATCAACAGACTAAGCTAGCTCGTTAAAATGCTGTAATGTAAATTACGAAACACTTCCTATCGTGTCATTAAGTGTCGTAAAACTTGTCAAAAATACCGCCGCGCGATGTAATCAGTAACGTATACTTTCCTTTACATCTGTTATGCAAAGCTTGCTCAAGATTAATTTCTCAACGACTTGGGAATGCTAACACACTCGGTCCGTGTATTCGTATAACAAGCTTCTTTTTTTATATGTAAATTTAAAAGTACGTATAATACACGCAAATTAAATAAGAGAGATTTAAATCATGATACGTTTACGTTATCTGGAGATTATGATTGAAAGATACGCGAAGGAATAAATTACAGGGAAAACCTGAATGAAAACTGAGACCTAAATGAAAATGCCTCGCTCGCTAGTCGATCATTTGCATGGCGGGCACGATCTTCATTCACCTGTCATCGCCGAGCCATTCATCTTTATCAGCTGCTCGTTATTACTGCACGTGGCAAGGCCGCTCTGTCGCGTATTATCACAGGGTAGAGCAAAGAAGGGGGTTCCGACCTTCGGAAAGTTTGTGACAGTTTCTCGCGCACGTGGGAATACGCGTAGAACGCGCAGATGATCCGTCCCCGACAAAATAAGATTTGTGAAAGCGTCGTCATGTGGACGGGGAAATTTTACGCGTGTATAAAATTCATCCTTCGATATATCTTTCGAAATCCTGTTACGTCAACCTCGCGTAAACGTGTTCGCATTTTCACACTACCTATTTTTCCGCAGGTTTCCCTCGAACGAATTGTCCGTTCTTCCACGCGGACGAATATTTCACACGATCGGACGGCGCTAAGTATTCGCATTACGGTGAATATTGCTTGCGAACAATAAGCTGATTACGCGCAAGTGAATATTAATTGCGTGTTAATTACGTGCCGGATAATGGACGCTTTTTCACAGAGAAAAGGCACTCACGTTTTAATCCACGTCGTATGGGACGCGGAAAAAAGATCTGCATCTAGTGCAAGAGTATCGTTACGATTTTTTTTAATAATAAAAAATATCGACACGAATAACTCATGACAAGCCACTTACCGGGTGTCACATTTGGAAACGGCTGGCCTGGCAGCGACGGTGGATGCTCGTCTTCGGGCGAACGTTCGGACGCGTATCCCTGGTCCTGCGGCTCGCCGCTCAGTTTGCTCAGCTTTAAATCGACGCACTTGCCGAGCTGCTGGCGATGCTTGAGCAGCTCGCAATCAGGCTTGTGCACCATCTTCATGAGCACGTCGTCATCGACGTTGGTGACGTTAATTATGCACGGCTGCGAGGACGACGAGTTCGACTCCAGACTCCTGCCGCTGCTGTTTCTGGCGTCCTGCTTGCGCTTCGGCAGCGTGCCGACTAGGTCGAGGTCCGAGTTTCGGTGGCGTCTGTCCTCCGAGGACACGCCGCGACCTCCGTATCTCCCGCGGCCGGAATCGACCAGCACGGTGTCGGCGCTGCGATTTCTCTTGACCGAGTCGAAGGTACTGTGACGGGTTCGCACGAGGTCGAGGTCGCTCTGTTGATATCTGAAATCAGCCCGGAATCGCTCACGATTAATCTTCCACCGGGGAGAGATCCGTTTGCGCGCTCGCCGGAAGCGGGAGCCATTTCGAGTCGAGGATCGACGGGAGAACTATTTCCTCGGACTTAAAAATGCGGGAAGTTTCGCCGCGCGCGCGAAGAGGACGTTTGAAGTTAAAACTTCGGGGGTTTGCGCATTTGATATGAGAGTATGCCGCGCGATCGATCGATCGACAGAGATTGAAGTCCAAAGGGACATTCCCGGAATTCTCCAAATTGCCGTACCTCTATTCGCGTCGATCCCCGACAGGCTTGCGACGAAATGTGCATGCGGAACCGTGAAGTGTAATAAATTTCAGGAATTTATTAAGGATAATTAATTCTAACATGAGATTACATGTCGAACGTTCAATGCGCATCGCGCATTTCTCTGTAATATGACACGAATAATTTTTACGTTATTCTTATTCTTGATTATCACTTACCTCCAAGGATCGTTCTCGTCCAAAGAGTCCTGCGATCGGTGCTTAACGAGATCCAAAGTGCCGGTCGGTCCGCTATCCGAGAAGTGCACTCCTAACGAGCGTTTCTTATGTGGTAACGTGCCGAAATTTCCGCTAACATTCTCGGACGAGATGTTATTGTTATCCCGTCGATCTTCGTCCAGCCCATCTTTATCGTCCAAGTGATTTGGCAGCGAACCGCAAAATTTATACCTGTGCAGAAAGAACACAAACAGTTGAATAATTTATTCAAATCTTGAACAGGTCACGAAATAATCAGCAAGAAATTATAAATATGCATGTATCACTTAGAATACTTTGCAGAATAAACTTCGTTTGGGAGTATGTTATTTCGTGATGCGTTTTACACGTTAGATCGTTCGCATTACTCAAGTCACTTCGTTTTTCCCCTCATTACAAGTCTGAAGGAAGATGAAAGCGTCGGGAAGGGAACAAATTTGTAAGACGGAAGCACGCGTTTCGTGTAATAAGTTGCCGTCAGAAAGCGTCAAATTCTGTAGGAAAAATACTTTACGGTAATTTGCATAATCCGCTGTTCACATCGTTTGTACGTTATTTCGTTGATATAATGGGGATGCGAATCGTTTTGTATGACTTCGCTCGTTCCTCGTGTATATGTATAACGTGTATATAACGAAACGCGCAAAATGCGACGCGAATGTAAATTCGCGTGCGTGAGAGAACACTTCTGTTTAAACGCCATTGCTACGCTCGCAGCGGCGCGAACGAAGGTGCACAAAAATAAAATAAAATAAAATAAAAACACTTAAAAGCGATATATGAGGTGCATCCGATGCAACGAGAACTCTGCCGTGACAGCACGTTCGTATGCTATGACATACGTGACATTCGAACAAGATGAAATCGAGTGCACTGAATCGAAATATCGCCATGAGTGATGTTCGTAAGATATCTCGTCATTTCTTCCTGCGCGCGAATATGTCAATAGAATAAACTTGTCGAGGGACATTTTTGATATAAATGTCATGGACAAATCGTCTTTCAATCCATTAGAGATAACGACGAAGTTGAATTCAGCTTGACCAAGCTGATGTCTGCGATGTTGACCTTTTTAATAAAAGAAAACAAAAAGAATTGTACATCGTAGCGTTCTTGAACGCTACGATATACAATTGTTTTTCTTTTCCTTTATCAAAAAGGTCGACATCGCGGTATCAATATCTTCTTTTTTGGGGATACTCTAACAGGAGGAAAATGTCTGCAATAATAAAAGTTATGTTACTCTTCGTATTTGTTCTTTGCCGTTATACGTCTAAGAAATGTCTGAAAATAAGTTGGGGAACATGACATAATCATCGTAATGTCACGACACACGTGACAACGTTTTGTATTTACTCGGCGATCGTATTTGCATGCGTCTCATAAAACACTCTACGTGACAACGGACCGTACCGGGAACGGTATAGGAAACTTTACTAATAATTCGTACGTGACATCATCCGCCGTGGTCCGCTTTCACGCCCGGTGGATAGGCGAATGCCTTGCCTGCACAAACCTTCGTGGCATGCATAAGCGCACAAGCGCGCAGAACATCTGACCTTTCACCGGTCTCTCCACTTACATCGACCTCTCACGTTGCGGATACCTACAGTATAGATCCTAAAAATTCTATCCGGTCATAGAGCAATGATACAAATAACAGTCTTCTAGTACAGCCACTGACAGCTACGGAGGCGATGAGAAACGCAATGTTAAAATAATTCAATATTAAAATTCAGAAAGATATCCCGTTATAGACTCGTGATACCGTATGACCTATTATTAATTTCAATTTAATTCAGTCTTCTTTCGCCGTGATCCTCAAAAGTTTATTTTTTTATTGTATAGATGTAAATATAGAAACTTGAGAGAATGTATCTTCTTACAAGAGGTAAAACATAATCACTGTTGTCAGAAAGAAAATATATAATCACTATTCAAAGATTAAATAAATATATATATATGAGACAATAACGTTGATATTAAATATAACATGATAGCAACTATTCTTTCATAAAACGTTTTCTTTACATCCATGGAAATAAAAATGGCTTTTCGGTAATGTAACTAAAATTCGCGGTCTGATATTTCAAGGCTTAGGCAAACAAGTAACAAACGGAGGGACAATTCCGCTTATGCGTATTACTAGTGTTGTCACTGCCGGGTTAGACAACAGCACTTACGCAAATGAGATCAGGAAGCGCGCGGCCGCCTTTTAATATTCCCTTCCCGCGACTGCTCTTTTAGCCCACGTCCCCGTGTAAACGAAGGTTTAATGGAAGCCGCCCTGGTTCAGCGACTGGCCGACCTTAGAGGTGCTTTAAATTATCTCGCGGCCGGCAACTTGTTACTACCGGAGGCGCCGCCGCCGCCAACCCCATTGTAGGGGTTGCTTGTGCAGTTGCTGCAAGAGAGAACTATGCGTCCAGGAGACGCTGATGCAAGTGGATTCTCTGTTTTGTACGTCGCTGCAAGATGCAGAACAGCTTCCGCGCTAGTAAAGCTTTCCCAGCTTTTCTCCTTTTACTTTAAACGCGCCACCGTTACTTTAAATATCTTGTTTAATTCAATTGTGTTGTCGGAGACGGAATTTAACAAAGTAGTACGAACTTGGACAGAACTATATAATCACAGCTAAAAGTATTTCTAAAATATATTATTACTCATTAATTCTGTACAATTTATTTCAATCAAAATATAAATTTATATATTTATGTATATGGATAAAATATTAATTAATTAAAATGTATAGCAATTTTTTTATTTATGCTCTGCCTTGAGCACGACAAAATGTAACGATGTAAAAGCTTAATTAAGATGCAGGTAAGCAAAGGTATTAGATTAAATATCGTAAGACGCCGACCTATATTACGAAAAATGGTCGGGAGTTTGGGAGAACTTATTAAACTTATTAACGAGGCGTCTGTCCTTGACGGATTGGATAATAGTTTTTAGATGGTATATCGCGCGACCAACCGGTTACAGTAAGATCACCGTCAGTCATGGTTTCATCTTACCCAGCTCGTTATTACAATGACTATATGCGAGACGCAAATAATTATTAATTTAATAACAGGACGACGTGCGCGGTCGACTCATTTTCTGCCGACTTATCATCGTCATTTATCACCGTTATCAACGTCGAATATAATTCACCTTCGGATTAACGATCTTGGGCCATTGTCGGCCGGGAGCTTACTCCGTTTAGCTTAGTTAGGCGAACAGGAGTAAAGGAATATTATTGGCATATACAGCGTCATGTTTTCACGACAACCTTGTTATTGCTTAATCGTCTTACGTATATAACTTAGCACATCACAGTACACAACACGTCGATGAAGGATTCCGGAGCCGAAGTGACGCGGGATTTTGCACGTTTTTCTATCCGACAAAAAGCCCTCCTAGCGACGCGACGTCTCGTCTTCTCTCTAAATTTAATTAGCATGTGCTTCCGAATTAAAGAGCTTTATTACTTGGCAACTAATCCTATTTGCGTCTAAGTATAGCTATTCATGATTTATAAGGAGATATCGCCTCGTAATCCTCGACGGAATAATCAAGAAGACAACCTTGCGAGAGAGGAACCCATCGATCGATTCGCAATCAATCTTAGTAGATTTCGCTATGTCAATTTTTCGCGGAAATAATTTTTTTTATCTGTTTTACTTTATTAATGAGTATCGATTACCGTAAATACGGTAAATAGCTAAATAGCTTAGGTAATTTCTTGACGACTCTCCTGGGTATTTCAAAGCCATCACACAAATTAATGCCATGTGTCGATCAAACTGTCCATCAATGAGTTAGCTTTGTTAATAGTTACGAATGTCATTTTGATCGACAATTTGATGATATTAATTTATGTGATAGCTTCTGAATATCTTTGCTTTGTTAAAAGACTTGACGTTTCAATACCATAGTTTTCTCTCAGAATGGTCAACGATATTTTCCAAAATAGTTTTCAATTTAGCCAATTTGAAGAGTATTTATTTGTTACTTATAATTCTTGGGGGGGGGGGGGGAAACGATCAGAGAAAAAAGAAAGGTTTTAGAACAACAATTTAAATTTTAATTTAAAAAATTAAATAAAATATTTGCGAGGAAATTAGGTGATTTATTTATGGAAAGATGTGAGAGTTAAGTGAATTTTTTTTCAACAGATACGAAGAGCTTGTGGACAAAGAAGTTTAGAGGTGAAGAGAGGCAATGTCTTATCGTTCCACGGGGATCGTGGGTAAAGAAACAGTTCACACCGACGAATGAGTTCCCCTCTTTACACAGTTGACAAGCATTACACGAATGCTGTGCAAACAAAGTCACTTAATAGTACTTTAAGAAATGGAAGAAAAATATTTTAATTTAATTAGTCATTAAATCATAAATTTTAATTAATCTTTCTTTGGCAATATCAAAGTAATTGCATTGATAAAAATTTATCGTATAACGTGGTACAAAATGATAGGAAAGACATGAATATAATCAAGCGCAAAAATTGCGAGAAATATATATTTTTTAAACAACAATGGGAATATTAATCGACTCTACTGGCCATTATGGCAAAATAAAAATTTATTTATGTTTGTATATATATTTTATATATTATATTAAATTAGTAGTATAATTAAAATAATTCTCTAATGTCTTTTTACTGCAAGATGTAATAATTTCATAGATATTAATAATCATAAAGCTAACAATAAGTGTAATCATTAATGTCATGCTTCAATTTAAACGATATATTCCTACACCTTGTTCTGAACATGTTCATAACCCACAGGTAAATTTGTGTTAAGCAAACTATTGGCGTGATACTAGCAGTGCCTTAAGGGTATCAGACGAATAATCGATCGTGAATTGACCTTTCCCTCCGTGTATTGCAACACAACTATTCCCTGTAGTGTTTTCAATCGTTTTTCGTGCCGTTCAAAAAATTAACGAAGTTTGCAAGGCTAGATTACAAAGAAGATCTAATCTGTCGCGAGAGAAGTGTGATTGAGACACCTTGCAGCCTCCTTTTTCTCACGTAATGTTTCACAATATTTAATTCCAACTACGTAGCAACAAGGTACGTACCAGCTTCATGTTTATGTATTATACGTATACTTTTTATTTTCTTTTGAATCAAAATGCATTCCAATTTTATACTTATGCATTTCTTTACATCTACTTTAATATTTCTTTTGTAAAAAATTCAACGCAATAAGAAAAAATTACTTTTCTTTCAATCTTTATAAAAAGAGTTAAGCAACTTTAATATCGAATATTATAGATTATGCAAACATTGTTTAGCAAATAAGCAAAATGTTAAAATATCCTTTTTCGTTTAATTAAAAATAAAAACCCTCCCAGCTTAAGTTAACGTGTCTCTGGTAAATTTTATCGCGTAAAAGAGTCACGGTGAGGTCTCGCTTCGCGTGTACTTGCCGCGAGACACTGCCGTGTCTCTTGATATCTTATTGTGTACACTAGAGTAGAATTTTTATGATCATAAGTACATAATGATAAAAATATTGTGTGTATGATTAAATATATAAGATTATATTCTTATGGGTAATGTATTGAATAGTGTACTTTTTACTTTATTATTATCTAGCTATTTGTGCCATTCAAAGTTTCATACTAGATGACATCTTCTTTACAAGCGTTTTAAAAAATTTCGATAATACTGGTCATTAGTGACCACCATTCAGAGTGCAACTAAAAAATGCTGGTCGCAACGGTGATTCCCGATGACTACCATGACGGTCAATGTGTTAAAAAGAATGTAAAACTATTTTCGGTAATGGAGGAGATAACAATTATAAATGACCAACCTTTCTCTCTGCGCGCTGGAACAGGGTACCAGTATCTTTCCCATACTGTTGAGCTTTCCCTTGGGGTCACATAGATTTCCGGAAGATTGAGTGCGTCGGCCAGTGAGGCCCTTTCCGTTATGTCTGCTAAGATTCGAACCCATTATCGATTCTTCGGTTGCCTGGATTTGATTCGTTTGGTGGTCGTCCTCGCGACGGTTCACGGCATTTCCGGGTGTGTTCTCTTTGTTCGGCCAGTCGAAGTATCTGTCGAGCGGATCCTTGGCATTGACCCTGTAGGATATCGGCTGCGACGGTGGGGGTGGCGCCGGCCGATTCCTCTTACCGCCGGAAACGACCGGTTGTAACTGAGGCCGGCAGCCGCGGCGACGATTGCTCGATTGCGGCGATTCGCCGTTTACTGACAGCCTCTGCGCTTTCCAGCTCTCCTGATCGTTGCTGGTGGACGGTACCGTCACTACTTCCTCACCTGCAACCGTAAAGCAATGTTATTGGAGTGATACCGATCGTTATAGCCATTTCGAAATTGAAGTTCTCGCTTTTTGTCCGCCCGCGGGCGGCTTCCGGATAACGCGGCACATCACGAAATTGCATCCGCGGCTTCGGTTGGACATTTGATTTTATTTTCAACCGTTGCGCGGCGCGTATACGTTTGTACGAGATTGTATTTGCGTTTGGAAGCAACGTCTTTTGCAAAGATAATATCGCGTACTCCAATTCGCGCGCAACTTTTTATTACGTCTCGTAGGATGTGTCACACATTATTATATGTGTGATGTATTCGATTCGTAAAATGTTTATGTATCCGCGATTTATTTTATATTCTTAGCTCCTATAATTTTTTAATAAACCAATTAAATAAATTAAAGTTTCAAACCAGATTTTAGCACAGTGCCAAGATATTTTATTTTGTACGTTAGAAAATTTCTATTCGCGCATTTGAGTTTCGACTGAGTGATGTTTTACAGCGATAACGTCTCTCACAGAATATCTGCATCTGAACATGTTTGCAATTCATGTGGTTTTGCGTAGAATGGAGAGCTTGCCATATATCTGGCAGTGTCCGATTTGGGCACTTAGTGTCCCACAATTTTATAAAATAACATTATTCTAACTAAAATGTATAAAAATTTATTTAATTTCGCATTTAATATAGAATCACGTTTAAGTTCGCACAAATTCGTTGCAATTAAATTAAAATCCATTTTTTATCGTAAAAATATTCAAACATTAATAGTTTTTAAACTAACACAAATTTTTTGTAAATAAAGTTCCAAAGGCGCAACTAGAGTTTTATTCTTTGTATTATTTCAATTAGACTTTACTCTTATAAAATTTTATTCTCAGGTAGTTATGATAACATTAAATGTGCCTATTGGAAATTGACAAATTTTCTTTGTAAGAAATTTCTCGACAACGGAAAGATTGTGATTTCAAATCATGGCTGATCTGTTGAAAACAAAATAATCTGCATAAACTTTGTATATTTTGTCTCTCTGATCGCATTTCGAATAATTAATACTAATTCTTTCAGTTTTCGCAGCGGTTGCAGAGTGCAAGTCGTATTCGCGTTCACGGCGAGCTTAGTGTTATGTCTGTAGAGCACGTTTCGTAGCTGCATAACCGAAGTCCGAGTCACTAATAACCACCGTGCACGAGACTTATTGCATAACCGTATTATTAATGCTACCGGCATGCATGCACGTACATCGTGCGCCTCCGCGAATCCAACGAACGGAGCTGGATCGAACGCCAGACTCGTATCGTGGTTGTTGTGTCTACAAGCGGAAAGTTTTAATTTTCGACGCAAAAGAAACAACGGCGGTCGCTATGGAAGAATGCGAGCACCGGTATTGTAGTCCGACTAATTCATCGGCGAATCGCACGCGCGTGAACTACGATTTGTTCTGGCGAAAGCGAAATTGTGTTCCGAGTTCACATCGCACACGTACATTGTAAATGTTACTTCATAAAGATGCAAAACTTTCGGAAGAGTTTTCTGGGAGAACGATCTATTTCTGAGAAAGGAGTGTTGAAAAAATTAATTTAATTTAAGGATTTTAATTATAGTGGAAGGTGTGAGCAAACTTTTGGTGTTTCTCTTGAAAAATATACATTTAAATATCCAAGTAATATTTGGATAAAACTTTGGTTTTAATATAATATATAGTTAGAATGCACTTCCTGTGCCATTCATGACTCTCGCAAGCGGAAGGTTGAAATGACTCAAAGAAAGAGTCGGTCATTAACACACATGAGGAGGAAATGCCTGGGAGTCATACTTCGCATGCTTGTACTTGATTTCTCGCAGGAAAGTATTACATTAGCAATTCTACGGTAATCGGGACGATCAACCGTTAACGGTAATCGGCTAGTTCATAGATCTGCAACATCCGTTGAACACAATTGTTAAAACTAATTTACGGATTAAATTGTGGGCGCATAGAAGGGATAACGCGTGTGATTAAAATGTGCTTTCTAAATAATAATCTTAAATATTTCCTAAGGAAGATATTCAAATTCTGGTGAAATCTAAAATAGATTTCTAAAAAAAGACATCCGAATCACCTTAGATATTTATAAACTATCGAAGAATTAATTCTAAATATCTTTTCAAAAAATAGTTTACTTTAAAACGAAATAATACTTTTCAAAAATATTTTTTCTATCTACAAATGACATAATCCCTCTCTAGTTTTGTCACCGTAAAACCTGAATCTTTTATTTTATCATCTTGTTCGTGCACCGGGTGTATTTTCTTTGGATTATTCGTAGCAGTTCCGTTCGACGTGTATATACAACTCATCTCAGATAACGTCGTCGTCGTCGTCGTTTTCGTCATCGTTGCTGTTAACCGATGAAATCGCCATTTTACGGTGTAACCAAGGGAAAGAAGTAAGAAGTCGAGAATCAGCTGTAACGAAGATGTAGCTCTTGAAGAGAAGCTCTAATCTTCGCATCCATTTAAGAGAGAGAGCGCTGATTTACGCCTCCTCGTAGTATCGTGGATGCTACTCTTTCGGAGCTTACTTTATAAAGAGTCTTAAGTGAAAGGCGTCTAAAGGTACATTTATTTAACTTAATAATACGTGGTCCTCGGCCGCACATTATCTCGCATGCGAGCCAATGTGTAAAAAAACTTCTTTAACGTGCACGCGAAATCACCGTTGCGCTGGTAATTGCCATCTTACCAGTGCGTGACGCGTTTGTAATGCGCGCGTTTGCAATAACGTTAAGAAGAAAAAGATATACACATGAGGTGGCAAAAGCAATTCTTTTCGTTTCGATATAAAATGCAGGCTGCGAATAGCACGTTAGTACGGAGATAGAAAATCATCCACAATATTATCCGAGACAAAAATTAAGTTTTGTAAAAAAGATATCGCTGAAAACGATTTGTGTCACTTTGTTTGCGATGGTAAATTTCGACAGATGTACATTTTAAAAATCATTGTGTTAAACCCGGCATTCTTTATGGAATAATGCCAAATGTCATTTCAACTCATCAGTTGTAAAACGTTTCTATATTGACTGTCAATGCCTTAATGTAAAAAGGGATACGATGTTAGATATTGCTTGTATCGACTGTGTACTTTATAGCACAGATAGATTTATAATCTATTTTAAATGTAAATATTTTTTAAATTAAAAAACTCTATTTCTCTGAAAAATTTGTTATGCGCAATCCTCAAGTTCTACCTTCAATAAATAGGAAGTTATGACTTCTAAACTCATCAGGGCTCTGATTTCTAAACTTGCCTGCGCTAAAGCATATACATGAAAAATATCTTTTATTTTATTTTACATCGCAATCGAAGTTCATTGAATTTGAAGAGAGACGGTTGCGAACCGAGAGAACGTGCACCGTTAATTCACAATCAGCTGGCTACGACAACGGTATTTAATCGGTAAATTGGTTCTAAAATCAGCACGTCGTGCTACCTGATCGACTTTACGAGAGATCGTGTCACCGAGGTTGGCAATTATTCCGAACTCTTCCGCTTATGCGGCTTTCGGTCGCGAATAAACCCAGAGGTGGATAAATGTGGGAAATTGATAGGAATCGTGCAGGTCGACCTCAGGACGATTATTGGGATCGTAAAGGAGCCGATTGCGGAAATTTATTGCGTCGAGACCTTTCTACCGACAAAATGCATTGATATGTGCTTCTCGTATACCTATGCGTGTTCAAATTTGCACAAAACTTCACGCGTATAGTATATGAAAAATGATGGCACAGTTTATTCAATATTCGCAAGAATATTAAAGCTATTAAAAATATTATAACTGATATTACACTTACGTTCGTTTAATATTTCGTTAATATTTGTTTTGTTTCAAGTTTAACGTCGGAAATTAGCAAATAAATTCCTTCGATAAATTAAACTGCAAGAGTAGAAGTAGATATTGTGAAAAACAATATCTTATTTTTGAATTAATTTTAAATTGACCTTAATAGAGTTTATTTGTTACTTAGCAGAAAATTTAATTTGGGACTTAATTACAAAGATATTTATGCTGAAAGTTGGAAAGTTGTTACAAATGACTTTCTATTGAATCTTTATTATAGTTGACTCTCTAAATTAACCCAAGAATCATTTAAATAGAAATGAATAGAAATACATGTAATAATTATGGGGTAATTTCTTTACGACATCTCTCTGTCATTATTATCAACAAATTTGTCATTATTATCACCACGTCGCTAAATTTTTAAAGGAATTCGCAATTGATTTAAAATGAAACACATTTCCCATAAGGTCAAGGATAATTTATATCCGTCGTATTATCGTTAACTGCGTTTATTTGCGGATAAATCGCGAGCGCGGTTTTGCTAGTAAAATATTCAGTGTTGCCATTGTCAGACAAAGAGAGAGAGAGAGAGAGAGAAAGAGAGAAAGAGACAGACCGAGAAGGAGGAAGAGAGAGAGAGAGAAAAAGAGAATCCGTGGAGCAATGTGGACATACAGAACGCGATATAATACGAGTCTGGAATTATAATTACGCCATAATTAGTTCCGAGAGAGCGTTACGCGCTAGCGGAACTGAAATGGTCGATTCATCGTCATGCAATTACCGTTGCTTTCCTATCAACTGACACCGCCGCCGCCGCGTCGGCGAAAAACAATTCGAGACTATTCGGGACGGAAGGAGATCGCGGACGGAAATAGTCGGAATAGCCGCGCGCGGAATCGCGCACTAATTCGCATTATGCCAAGCACGTGCTTGCCGATTGCAAACGCAAACGCAAACACAAGCAACAGCAGCAGTAGCAGTTGCAGCGGCTGGTGCACTCGTGCGGACTGATACGCTATGTTGGAAAATCCATTTGTATGCCAATTAACCCGCGTCTGCCGCGGATTTATTATCGTAAGGTCAAGGCGACCGTCATGACGTTCTGGGTAATTAAACATCGTTCGCAGATCTCGAAAAATGTCAGGTTACTATATTTATGCATGAAATGCGTAA